GCAGCAGATCATGGCCATCACGGACCAGAGCCTGGACGAGGCGCAGGCCAGGTAGCGGCGGCGCCGTGACTCAGCTCCGCGCCGCCTCTCCGCGCCGGGGGGCTCCCGCCGCCGGGGGGCTCCCGCCGCCGCGGGGGTCGCCGCGAGCAGCCGCGGGGCCCGAAGTTCCCCCGTTGGCGGCGGCTTTTGTGGCTCTCGGGAGGCGCTTCTGCCTCCCGTGCCCCGGCCGCCCCTCCATTTCCAGGCTCTTTCGGCGCAGGCCGTCGATAATAAATCGCCCCGRTTGTCTGAGTGCGGGCGCAGGTTTTGGCCACATCCCTGACTCAAACGGTACCGTTTGCGTGTAACGGGCCCTGCGGCTGGAGTCCCGGCCAGCCGCCGAGGGTGCCCCTTCCTTGGAGGTAAAAGGGGGAGCGTCGAGTGCCCGCCCGGCCGTCGGGGTCGGGCGCGAGGTGCCCGGGATGCCGGCATCCTTGCTACCCCGATGCCGGCTCTTGTCAGTGCTGCCACCTCCTTGGTGCTTCGGAAACTCGGTTTAAATCGTCTTAAAAGGAAGAAGTTGAGGGGTTAGGTTCGCTTCTTTCTGGACGTGCTGTAAAAGCCGAGTGGACTTTACTGGCGCGTAAATAACCGCGGCGAGTGACGTAGCCTGATGTGAGCCTGTCCGCGCAGCAGCGCCGGGTCGTGCCTCTTGCCTCGCAGGGGGCTCTGCCCGGGCCGTCTAATTAATTATATGTTCTGCGTCCTCGGTTTGCGCTGATTACGAGGGGTGGAGGCCGCTGAGGACGAGGAGGAGGCCGCGGTGCAGCGGGGCTGTCGGGCGGCTCTGCAGCCTTCGCGTTGGGGTCGGCGACGGGCGATGACTTTGTCTCCTGTAAACGGTGCCCAGGACTCCCCCCAGCCCAGCCTGCAATGGGGCTACTACAACCACACCGATGGGGCTGCTTTTTTTTCTTAGAAAACCCCCAAAACCCCCAAATTTCTCTGCCATCGGATTGGCCGCGTTGAGGTCCACCTGTTGCTGTCGCATCCTGGCAGGGACTCAAAAGCGACTCGAGCAGTTACGGCAGTAAAATGTGTCTCTGCAATGACTGTGGGCAAGTGCCAGGCTCCGAAGGGTTGAATAGGCTTCGGAAATAGGGGAAAAGGGGAATTATTTTTGTAAAATTACCCCAAAGAGCTTTGTTTAGCTGTAATATGGAAGGACGTTGAATTAGTAGGTGGGACTTGCTTGGGGTAAAGTGTCTTTCTGACCTATGGAAGCCTTTCTGGAGAGGCTTCTGTTATGGAAGATTGATTCAGAGGTTTGGGGTTTTCTGTTTTGTTTTGGTTTTTCTCCTCATGTTTCATGACTCTGGAACAATTTTCTGTGTTGGTCTAAGAACCTCAGGATCTGCTAGGCTGCTGTCATTTGGTATTTTCATTTATTGGTGCTGAAGTAAGCCGTCTCATCACTTTTTGATATTTTTTTTCTCTTTCACTGCATCTCAGAAATAATCGTCTGCAGTTCCTGTGTAGTTTCTGTAGGAATAGACTTGCCTGGATGCTGCATCGCAGAAAAGAAAAATGCAGGTCTTAAAATGTCTTTCTTTAAGTGTTTTATCTTGAAGACACTTAAACTTTCCAGGAACTTCAGTTTAAAATAATAGTTGAATAATAGGTTTTAAAAAATAGCTTGAACAATATGTTTAAACTAAGTTACCTTAACTGTGCTTCCTTGCTTTAAAAATAAATGCTGTAAAAATCTATTTGAAGCACAGCAGGCTTAAAATACCCCCAAATTTTGAAGCCCTGTTACAATATTTTCATGTGCATATGCACTAAATAAGCTCCTCTATTGTAGATGAGAAGTTTGTGTGGTTTAAGAAGCCTACAGCTCGTTGAGAAAAGTTAGTGCTGAGAAAATAAAGCTGCAGCCTGGTCTCACAAACAGCACAAATGATTCAGCAACATGGGTAGGGATCCGTGCGCTTCCCGCACCTTGGTAAATGACAGTGCTGCAATTAAGTGCTGTATTTGTTGGGATTAACCTCCTTATTTTGTATAAATAAATAGTCTGCGTATTGAATATTAGAGGGCTTCTTTGGTTGCTTTAGTGCATATAGCTAAAATCTTAAACTATAACCTGAAATATGATCAGTTAAAGTTTTATTTAAAGAAAAATAGTATATCGAGGATTAGTTTAATGCTGCTAGTAAACACGATAAATCGGGTTACTGTTCTGCACAAGATTAAGTGGCCATATTAACTATGGCATTATTTCTGGGAAGCCACCTTCTTAGGCCTGGTATCTCTAGCTTATTGCCTTTACGTATAGAGCCTGGCTTTTCAAACGCAGACTGAGAGTATAATCTTAAGGCTTGCAATGGATTAATTTCAGTCATTTATTTATTTATTTCTCTCTCCTTCCCCCTTCCTCTTCCCCTCATCAGGCAAGGACAATAGGCTCCACTAGGCTGTCTTCTCAGCTGCCTTTGTTCTCAGGCTGTTTGTCTTAGATGTTTGATAATATCAACCCAAAGTAGATTATTTTTTTCTTTTTTTTTTTAACCTTTTTTTGACCATGTACTAAAAGAAACTGGCCAACCGACTTCAACTTCTGCTGCTGYTATTATAATCTAATATTCTGTTGTTCCCTGGCAGTTTAACCCTTGCTGTAAATATTACTGGTGAAAGCTTGTAAGGAAACCAAACACCTGTATAGAAATGTTTCATATTTGCTAGAGAAGTGACTGCTTTTTAAGAATAAAGGCCGCTTTGAATGTATACAAAAAGCATCAAAGTACTGAAACATCAATCATGTTCATAGCAATAAATAAATTACAGAAGCAAAATATAAATTACAGAAGAGATCATAGGAAACAAAGAAGGCTTTTTGAGGCGTATGTTGTAGCTAGATACCTCTTTCCATTTAAGTCAGTCAAAATTAGGTATCTGATAGTTGCCATTAGAAGTGGATGGGGGAAGATAACTGAAAGACTGTGTGTGTGCCCTCCTTGGGAAATGCTGGTGTTTTCATTTAGACATTGATTACCACATTTCAAGGTGTTTTTCAGCTGGGAAAACACATCACCCAAACACGCACGTGTGTTTCTTCATCTTAAACACTAACCTGCTATYCCTGAAGCAGGTCTCGGCTCTCTGTGAGTTTTGATGTCTTTCTGTCCTCCGAGTCGGCACTCACTGATTCTTTCTTCTTTAATTGCAGAAAACATGCCTTGAATTGCCACAGAATGAAGCCTGCTCTTTTCAGTGTGCTGTGTGAGATCAAGGAGAAAACAGGTTTGTTGAGATCTGCTTACAGCTTTCTCCCCCCCAAATAATAATAATAATAATAATTGAGTGACAAGTTTAACTTTCATTTAACGTGGCTCATGTCCTCCCTTATATGTTCCTTAACTTATGGCTGATTTTTTGGCTTAATACCCCTCTGTAGGCTGCAATTTTGTTTTGTTTTTTACAA